CAGGTCGGGTTTTCTAAGGTTCTGCTGCACAAGGTGGAAGGTGCTGCCCAAGGACACTCCAGCTGTGGGCGAGCCAAGTTCACCTGGATGTGCGTGGCATTTTCTGAGAAAAAGACTGCAGTGTCCTGAGGTGTTCACTCTAACATTAGATCCTAAGGGGAACACAGGGTGGGTGCCCTCCCCAAGAGCCATGCTATGCCACCTGCAGGAGTCATCCAGCCAGACAAAACCCACCACCAGGGATAGGCCCCGAGTGGGCGACCTTACCCACTGGCTCTCCAGATGGGCCACGTGGACTTCAGTGGCTGCATTTTCAGGCTTGTCCTGCTGCTCCTGGAACAGGTGCGAGGGAACGCAGCCACCTGGTTGGCCTCAGGACTGTGGTTGAGAAGCTTCCATTACATAAGAGGTGGAGTGGGAAAGAGACCTTGAACTTTAGAGAAGGGACCGTGTTCTATCTCAGGGATTTGACCGGGGAGGAGAGTTAATATTTTCCCAAGCCTAGCAGTTTTATTTTATTTTTTCCAAGTCTAGCAGTTTTAGATGGCTGGTTTTGTTCTCATTTGATCTGCACAGCAGCTGGGGCACCTTCCTGGACTGTGAGACGGAGCATCATGGGAGACGGGAAGGAGGAGCCTGAGGTGTCAGCCTTGGCTGCGAGGAGGCCCTTGGGTTTGATACTGGCTGGTTCTCAGCTGGTCAAACCTTCATGGCTGGAACCCAGCAGTCCGCCGTGGAACCAGGAGCCGCAGAGGAGCAGAGGGTGAGGAGGGGCAGCCTTGACCAGGGTTGGTCCCGGCCCGGCCCACTCTGGGCCACCATGCGCTTCCGTCCAGTGTGCTGAGAACACCGAGGAGCACTGGGGTGGGGTGACCTTCCTTTAAGTCTAGTATGGGGCTTCCAAGAGGAAGCTGCGCCCTGCTCTTTCCCAGAAGTGTGCAGTGTCTGAGGGGTGCGTGTCGGGACTCTGACACCGACTTGTCCATATTTCCCGACTGCCGGACACTGGCTGTTCAAAAGGTGCAACTCTGGGGACTTTCTCCCCCCCACCCCCCGTCTGGTACAAGGCGGCCATCCTGGGGCCATGCTGCTCTGCAGGCCCAGGCTGTCCTTCAGACGGGCTGCCCCAAGGTCAAACCACGAATAGAGATGGCATTACAAATTTTGGGGGCCTTAAAATCCAAATTAATGCTCTCCAATCAGTTTTATCAATAATAAAGTTGATAAAGGGGAAAAAATCTACTGAGGTTAAAGCCCTTAGGGGCAGCCTTGAGCCTCTCTCTCCTGAAATAGGCCCCAGAAAGCTCTGTCCATATGGGAAGATGGATAAACGGGACCAGGTTAAGTTTAAGGACACGCACTCATCACACACACCACGGGGGGAGGGCAACAGCAAGCCACAGACTGGATAAATATTTGCAACACACATCAACAGAAGACTCATCTCCAGACTATGTAAAGAACTTCTAGAAATAAATAAGAAAAAGATAAACTACATATTCAATTAGGGAAAAAAATGGGCTATGACTTGATGAGGTTTTGCATAGATATACACGTGGCCAATAGCACGAGAAGGCATCCAACCTCAGTTCATCAGGGACATGCAAACTAAAATTGGTGACCTGTCTCTGCACCCCACCTCCATCCCAAAAGGCTGAAAAAACAAACAAACAAAAAACAGAACTGAGGCCATCTGTTCCAGATTGAAGGGCCTGACCCCTCACCCACTACAGTCCAAATGCCCTCATCTCTTGCCTGGACCACAGCAGCTTCTGTGGTGTCTATTACCTGTCTTTAATCTCCGCATTGCAGGGAGATGCAACTTTGAAAACAGAAATCAGGCCCGGCTGGTGTGGCTCAGTGGTTGAGCATCGACCCATGCACCAAGAGGTCACGGGTTCAATTCCCAGTCAGGGCACATGCCCAGGTTGTGGGCCAAATCCCCAGTGGGGGGCATGCAGGAGGCGGCCAATCGATGTTCTCTCTCATCGATGTTTCTCTCTCCCCTCTCCTCTCTCTCTCAAATCAATAAAGAAAAAAATTAAAAAACAAACAGAAATCAGGATCATCACTTCCTGCTCAAATCTTCCAATTCAGGATAAAACTCCAGGTCCTTCCTAAGCCCACCAGGCCCTTTAAGATCTCTTTTTTGGTGAACTGTGCCTTGAGTGCACTATGGAACATGCTGTTGCCGCCCAGTACCCCAGGACCCCTTCCTCTGGTCCCCTCTGACAGCAGTCCTAATGGCCCCGTGACTTGCGTTGATTGATCAAGCGTGGCAGGGAGTTCATGGGTCTCTGATCAGAGGCGTGAAGGGCCAGCCAGGGTTTCCTCTCTGTGCCTGTAGGCAAGCAGGCCTCCCTCCGGGAGGGGCTGCCTCACCAGCAGCCCAGAGTGAACGGGCTGCCCAGGTGTCAGGGGGCGTCTCCACAGCACGCCCTAGAGCCAGCCCATTCGGATGCACGCATGCCCAAGCTCAGTCTAGCCTCGGAGTTTACCTCCACTGTTCCCTCCTCCCGGAGGGCCCTCTTCCTCCTGCTTTTCTGAGTAGTCAGTTATGCCGGTATTAACTATTTCGCTATTCCCTTCTTCCCACACTGCTATACCTATGTCCAACACACCGAATATTGCAAACAAACTGAGCAAAAGCAAGACAAAATAACACAGACTCCATCTACCTAAAATTCAAGCGCAGGCAAAACTAATGTTTAGTGAAGTCTAGGTAGATCTTAAGAAAAAAACCAAAATGAAACGAAGGATCACAAACGCCGAGACTGGTCTCCTGCAGAAGAGCTTCGTGGCGGCAGTGGCGCAGGGCAGTACTCACTAGGACGCCTGCCTTTTAACTCTTCAAACCAGACTTACGTGTCAAGTGCAGATGACCCTTGAACTGTGTGGCCCACTTGTTTTTCAGTGAATGCTATATTTACTCTTATGATCTAACATCTCTGTGAGCTAGACTTCTCACATACCTCTCAACTATTTTTCTAAAATGAACTCATTTTTCAGGTTTGACCAGCACCCTCAACACCTCTCCCCTTTGGCAAACGTCGGTTTCTTCTCTGTATCTACGGACGCTTGTCTCTCCACGTTTATTAAATTCCACCCCTAAGTGAAACCATATGGTATTCGTCTATTTCATGTAGCATAACACCCTCTAGGTCCATCCATGTTGTCACAAATGGCAAAATTTCATTCCTTTTTATGGCTAACTTTTCATCGCATACATGTATGTACATTTGTACCCATTCGTCTATAGACGAACACCCAGGTGGCTCCATGTCTCAGCTGTTGTCAACGATGCTGCAGGGAACAGAGGGTGCACACATTTTTATGGACGGACACCCCAGTGAACCTATGACTCAGCTGTTGTGAATGATGCTGCAGTAACATAGGGTGCACATTTTATAGACAGACACCCAGGTGGCCCCATGACTCAGCTGTTGTGAACAATGCTGCAGTGAACACAGGGTGCACACATTTTTTTCGAATGAATGTTTTCATTTTCTTTGAACAAACAGCCATATAAGTGAGTTATTACTGGGTGGTATGGCATCTGTATTTTTATCTTTGAGAAATCTCTAGTGTTTTACAATCCCAGGAGAATTCTCTTTTCTCCACATTGCAGCACTTGATATTACGGTGACAGCCATTCTGGCCAGTGTGAAGGAAACACCTCATGGTGTGGACACTTTTAATTACATAATCAATACATCTTTTTTTTTTTTATTATTGATTTTAAGGGAAAGAGAGGAACGGGAGATGAAACATCGATGAGAGAGAACATCGACTGGCTGCCTCATGCACACCCCCCACTGGGGATCAGGTCCACAGCCTGGGCATGTGCCCTGACCGGGAATCGAACCAGCAACCTCTTGGTGCATGCATGGGGTGACACTCAACCACTGAGCCACACTGCCTGGGCAATCAATACATCTTTAATCTTTGTTGCTGAAACTATGTCACTGCATTTTCTGTTACGGACACTGGGACAGCGTGGGTCAACTGACTTGCTACTTCCAATGCTGTTTCCTTCTATTTCTCAAAAGGTCACGTGGGTTGAGATAAAGAGCCAGATCCCACGAGGTCCCTTTCCTTCCTGCTTTGTCCCATGTCTGCCACACATCCCTCTGCCCGTGTTTGGATCGGCAAGGAAATTCAAACTCCATGGCTCAGTTCATGTGGCCACTTCCAAACTGAGCCGCATGCCCTGGGTGGGCCCGGGCCCTCTTCCCAAGTTGCCTGCCCGCCTGGCCCTAAGAGCTCTCAGTGAGCCTGGCCCCGAGCTGCCTCTGCTATCGAAGCACCCACTTCCAGGGGAGAAGCCTTGCTCACGTCTGACTTGAAATGCCAGCGGGACTACGGCTAAGCGCCGCCGAGGCATTCACCACTCCGCTCACCCCTGGTGTGCACACGTGCGCCGCACTCGTGCGGAAAGGCAGATGTGCACCGCAGGGCCCCCGAGCCACTTGCATCAGCATTTTAACGACAGCGTCAGCCTTAACGCGACAGGCGACCGCGGGCTCTGGGCTGCAGAGCACGTTCATGCTTTGTGCACACCCACGTTTCAGGGGTGCACGGTGGCTCTCGAAGCAACACTCAAACGCGCGAATGAAGAAAATGTGACACTGCATTTCATCCCAGATGAGCTTCCCGTGAACACCAGTACCCGCGAGAGAACCGCGTCGCAGCGTGTATTTACTGACTAGCAAGCAGAGGGACTGCCTAGGGCTGTACCGCTCTGCTCAGCCGCAGAGAAACGCTGGACTTGTGCCGTGCAGACAACCAGAACAGACCTGGCTTCCCCATGGGAATTTACTGCATCTGGTAGGTGTTTTATTTCAGAACCTAAGTTTAGAGTATGGTTTCATCTCTACTCAAAGAGACTGATGGAAATTAGTCTTCATGTCAAGGGCTGACGCTGTGCAGGTCTGTAAAGGAAGAGATATTGAAAGTGGATTTCAACAAGAAAAACATTACAGCAAGAATACTTTATCACTACAAATTTTATTCAGAAACCCATCTTTTTTTTAAATTGTTTTTTAAAAAAAATTCCCATTATGAACTGGTTTGGTCAATCAACTACAACACTTTCTAGCAGACATACGGTAAAAACGGCCTGGCTCAGAATCGCCCAGATCTCTCCCGATCTCTTGACCGCCTCCTGTCCCGTTCCCGTCCCCCACCGCCGCCACCTCCGCCGCCACCGCCGCCACGACCACGGTCCCTAGACCGAGAGCGGCGCTCCCGGGACCGGGACCTCGATCGATGCCTGCAAACAAGGAGAAGAAACAAGACCTTGGCATCCAAGTGAAAACATGCAACACAAGCCCACAGTGACTAACACTTTCAAATACCGCACCCATCAGAGCAAAGACATTCATGAAAAAGACAAATGCTACCAATTTAATGGCAAGCTGCACCCCTAAGATGAGCGCTACTTTCAGATGTCCAAGTGTGTGGGAATAAAGGGCACCTCAGAATCGAGGGGTAAGGTGTCCGTCAGGCTGATTTCTGCAGGGGAAAGGGAGAGTTTTTTCTCCTTTCTTACTTTTGTTGACAATAGGACAGAATCACAGAATATGTCAGCATTTCTAACACATGATTAACAGGACAGGGGTGAAAACGCTCCGGGGTCAGAACTCAGTGTTCATGGGAACAGCGACTGCTCACACCCTCCGACACCGGGCTCCGACAGGGCCACCTGCACTTCTGAGCACCAGGACCAGACAGACACGGCTGCCTGACCGCTGGTGGGCCGCAGGGGATGCCAAGACCCCCAAAGGAGAGATGCAGTGTGTGGAGGAGGTTAAGACACTCAGAGAGAATACAGGCTGCACACAGCAACACAGTTTCATCCTTTCCCACTGGCCATGCCCTTGGTTCCTCACTGAGGTTCAGTCTCTACTTAAGTAGAAAGATGTGTGCTCAGAATATTCTTCACAGTATACTTAGGCCAATTTTACTTAAAAAAAGAAAAATTAGGACCCCCCCCCCCCAGCTAAGCAACAGTGGACGCGCCGAGACACTCACTTCTTGCGCCGGCGCCCGTACAGCTCCCGCCGCAGCTCTCTGGAAATGGGCTTCAGATGCATGAAGTTGCAGAAGCCGCCTCGTGTACACTCCCTGCGGGGAGAAGCGGACGAGCATCACACTGCAGTGCACTGTGTGCACACACCCGTCCTCTCCCTCCCGGCAGGCAGGCCGTCCACACCTACCCCATTTCATACTGGCGGCAGCAGGCTTCCCGGAAGTCGGTCACCGGGGAGAGCTCGGCGTGGATGGGCTGCCCGTTGAACCAGCGGTTGTTCAAGTCAATCACAGCTTTCTCCGCGTCTTCTTCACGGCGAAACTGAGAAGACACACAGAATGCTTGCCGCCACGCTCTGACAACACATTTTCAATCACTGATCCAAATACATACAAACAATGTAGCACAATTAAAATCAGACAACTTTCTATTTACAATTAGATTAATCTTGTAACGGTCCAAGATCATGCTAAATATGTTGTCTTGGTTTTCCAATTCAAATGGTTAGAAGAGCAAATATAATGATTTGTGTAGGCAACAAAAGTTTCATTAATAAAAAACACATAAGACAACTTCTCCCCAGTTCAAACAGCCTCTAACCACCACCTGTGAAGATGCTGAACTCTAGAAGGATGAGGCAGGACAAGCCCCCTCCTGCCCCCCAGGCCCGAGCACCTGCGTGCGGACTCCTCGACAGTCCCGGGCCTCAGCCAAGGCCCACAGCCAGAACAGTAAGGCAGCCCTCCTATTCCCCACCCTCTGCTGTGAGGACATGGAAACCCCTCGTCACCTTCCACCTACCTTCACATACACGTTTCCAACCAGGTGATCGCCCAGGTTATCACAGACATTCATCTCCTCGACCTCTCCGTACTTCTCCTCCATTTCTGTAAAGACCTCCTGGAGGAAAAACAGTACTTAAGGGTCATGATATTGTTAAAGATAAAAGACTAATCGAATACGTTGCATATTTAAGTATTTTAACTAATAGAGAAAAGCTTAAATTCCCCCCAAGTGATAAAACGTTAACAGATCTATCAGTTTCAAATAGTCAGTATCTCACCTCAAAAAACTCATCATAGTGTTCCTGCATCTCGACATCACTCACAGCACCTGTAAACAAAAGAAATCTTGCTGGTTAGACGGGGGCTGTGATCAAAAGAAGGCTTGTGCTTAAATCAACCTGCTACAGTGACACATTAGATTATCTACAGAGAACCCGACAGACACGTGTTCTACCGGAGCACTGACAAGACTGTCACACAGCCAATTGTTAAAATCTTAAAGTGTGGTGAGACTTTTAAATGCCCCCTGACAGTCTCCATCCTGGCTATTAAAATCACAAGTTTTAATCAGCATCAAAGGGCCACATTTTCAGCAAGTATAAGAAAAAAGTTGACTCTCAAAAAAAATTTTTTTTTTTAATTTCTTTTTAAGATTTAAAAAATAGAGGCCAAGTAATCACAGCCCGCCCCCCCTTATTAGGTTAAAATGAAAGCTGAATCAGGGTGATTAAAAGCTTATATTCCTGATTCGTTTCTTTCACAGGTTATCAGCCACATGAATGCTATAAAATTATTTCTGATGCGATTAAAACCCAAATGACCATAAATACTCAGTAGGAAAGTTACAAAATTCAATTACAGTGTTTTGAATGCCCTTTGAGTAAAGGAAAAGTTACAATACACTTTGTTGAAGAAAGCATCCTTATTTTCTATTTTCCTCGTTTATTCTTTTTCATAACCTACATGCACTAAGTGAAATGATTTCCAATCTGTGGATCGATTCTGCCGATTTACATTCTATCCCCATGATCACCTCCTCTATCAAGTTTTAGAGTTCTCCTAACCTAAATGTGAGAAGTCAAAGCCGGTGTGTTAATAAGCTGAGGTCCCAACACTGGGACCAGAGAATCAGGAAGGCCGAGGCTTTTAGGCCGGGCGGCTGGGTCTTCAATCGCTACCACAGGCCAGGCTCCTGGACTGGCGGCCTCACCTGGCGAAACCCACTGAGGACACCTGAGCTGTGGCACCAGGCTCTCTATCCAGACTGTGACCTTTCAGCAGTTTCCTGTCTTGAAAACCTTTTAATCTTTAAGGATAAAAACTTTAATTTTTTGATTCTGAGATTGATTTAAGTTTACTTTCTAACACTTAACCTCCCTGCATTTTGGTTATTTTTCAATTTACAGAATCCAGCTCATTTGAGAACCCAAATTCACTGAACACAGGCAACAACTACCACTCTTGATGGCTCATCCTGAATGGGAGGCAATCAGGAATATAACTTCTCCCTGAGTGGAGATCAAGTTCTAAACAGAGGAGCTAGGCAGACAAGCCCTTTCCAAGGGGCAGGTCCCAGTGTTTAAACTCACGTCCTTCCCCACACCAAGCAGAGTGAGAACAGAGAAGAAAATCTCCATGTGCTCCAAGTCTGAGCAGTGTTGACTGGAGTCTGGCAGTGGTTTTGACACCAGCCGTATCGTGACATTTCCACTCTGTTCCACAGAACACGGAGTATTATATTTCCATTAACTTCTGGAAAGCTGCTATTTGAAAATGCTTGAAAGTGAGCATACTTTATCCTATATACTCTGCTTAAAAATGTTGAGTCAAAATGACTTGAAAGGTCTTGAAAGTGAGTGATTAAAAACTGATCAACTAAAAATAATTTATATGACTCAATCTATTTTTTAACACAACCTGAAAAACACCAACTTTTCTTACAGAAACAGTCTTAAACTGGGATTCATTATCAAGTTAAACCCAAGCACAGAAAGCTTGTTTTTCTACTGATAAAAGGGTATGTTCAAAAGAACCATTAAATTTAGGAAGCTGATGAACCCAGCTGGCTGACATTTTATTGAAAGGGTCTGAAGCCAAATATTTCAGGTTTATCAATCTAAATCGATTCTTTTAAAATTGCAGAATCAGAATTTCATTTAATTTGTACAATCTGGACCTCAGAACTGAAATATTTGGTATAGCTAAACTTTTATTTTGTAGCATATACAAAACAAGACCACTGTGAATCACAAATAATGACACCAAGAAAACTAACACAACATTCTTTTGCCAATAAAGAACCCACAGTCCCCAAATAAACAAGCAGGGCAAAGAATTATGAATTATTGTTACTCCGGCATCTACTTTTTAACTCATTTACTTTTAATCAAGTCCACATATAAACATTTCCCTCCATCTAATTGATCTTACTTCTTAAAAGAGAGAACAAAACCCAGGTATTTTAAACCAATGGCTACCAAGTCAATCCTGCTGCCATCAGATCTGGAGGAAGACTTCTCCACTATCAGCATTAGCAACTAAAAACATTTAGTATCCGGGCAGAAAAAACTGACAAGACAGCCCCACCCTGCAGACATGGGTGCTCCTGTGTGTGCAGGTATGTAACTGGGAGACCTCCAGTGTGGGGCCGGGAGGAGTGGATGGTGGCTGCTGGCACCACCCCACCCAGTGCAGGTCACCCATAAACTGACGGCTCTGGGCCAAGGCTGCCCTGGAGTTGGGTCTGTGCTACCAGGTTACCCCTGACAGCGTCTTCTAGTCACGTTTACAGCTTTCAAACAAACTGGTGCATGAGGAGCAGCCACCCTGTGGCTTGGACCCTGTGATTTAACAGGTGTCCAGGATGTCCTTTCAATTTGTCCACAGGTGACGTTGATTCTATAGCTCGACAGTTCTAAAATTTTAGTTTTTTTACCTTTGCCATGATACTAGTATGTATGCTGTTCTCTACCCTCAGTGAACACAATATTCGCACTCACAGTGCTCACAGTACGATAAGAGACCAGCAAGGCCTACTGAATGCCCGGTTCAGAGCTACTCGCCAGCACCCTTGACTTCCAGATGCAGTGAATTAGCTCCTGGAGGTGGAGATGTCTACATAAAGTATTCTGGTTAAAAAATGAGCGAACACAGGGCTGGTGCTGAGGAAAACTCATGGGTGACTGCAACTCGAAGGACCCTCACTTGGAAACATTCTCAGAACAATACTTGCATAATTAAAGCATGAGCTCCAAAATAAATTTTAAGGGGAAAAAAACATCTAATAAGAAATAAAATCTGAAAAGTAATTTCAGAAGTTTTTTTTAAGCAAGAGAAACTTTCAAATACTGTTGCTCTTGGAGGGAGGAACACGACTGCACATTTAATGCCATGGATCTTCTCCCCTGACGCGGGTCAAGGACAGGGAGAAAGAGCAGCTCCAAGCTACTGTAACGGGCGCCCTTTGCATTCATCTTTGTCCTTCTTGTGTGAGTGGGCAGGAGGTGAGATTTCCGACAAAGGTTTCCGTGGGGTCAGTGGGACACAAGCTCTGGACACTTCTAGTGGAAGCGGTCCTTGACACTACTAGCGGCAGACCAGGCGGAGTGGACGCTGAGCTCTGACACGCAAGCCCAGGGAACCAGGGAAGGAACTTGTATGAACTTACAGCGCAAACCGTCAGCAGACTGGGAAGAGTTTTGAGGGTTACGGTAAATGTTCAAGAGGGCAATGGTCTGAAATACAAAACGCAACAACTTTATATTATGGAAAATTAAAAGTAAACACTTAACCGGTTTCCTGTGGCGATCGCTTCAGTCAAGACTCAGTGCTGGAAAAAAGCAAGTTATTTCTCCCGAGGCAGATGTGCTCTTAGCTGATGGCGGTCTCGGAGCCCTAGCACTGCGGGGTACAGAGATCTCATGATGTGCCAGTACTGTATTTCTCCATCTCAAAGTTCCAAGCCAGGTAAGAGTGCAAATAACTCGGCAGGCTACTACCAACACATTGTTAGAAAAACTTTTAATGGACAACTGAGGAAGAAAAAGTGCCCATATGAACTGATGACACAATTACTGCATTAGAGAAATACAATAATTACATATCATGAAATCTCCATTTCCTAGAGGAAAAATCATAATGTTGAAATAAAACCCAACACTTATTGGGCAACTTACCTTGATTCCTAAATATTCCTAAGATTATTAATTTTACAGAAAGAACTTAATAAATGCCAAGAGTTCAGTCACTGTAAAGACCAATGACCGGCTGATAATGTTCAAATGTCACATGGACGGATCCTTTCGTTAACAAATGTCAATCAAGGAAAGAGACCCGGCCAGCGACCTCGCTAGGACAGCCTCCTGAACGCAGCTAAGTATCAAGTTCTTGCTGTATACGCCAAGGACTTCACCACCTTGTCCTGTTTGCAACAGCTCTATGTCAGCAGCTCAGAAGCCAACATTATTTGTCTCAATTAAGAGTGGGCTCTTTAACACCATTGTTTTAAAAAAATTTCTCCAACTGTGGGACTTACAGTGTGAGCCGTCAGCCGTCTGTGCACTGTTTTGGGGATTACGATAGATGTTTTGAATCAAGATGGTCTGCGGGGAAAAAAAAATAAAAAGGGGAATTCTACTGGCTGCTGTGCATATATTAGACAATTGCAAAGAGACAACTTGTTTGCAAATGGCTCAACGCTTGTTTGTTTCCCGAAAGCCAGACAATTGTCTTCTGAAAAGTACACACAAACCATCATATTATGAAAACAGAGTTTGAGCAGTGACTTAGGTCAAGTCAGCCAGCAACCAAGAAGAAATTATAATTGTTACTTTGAGAAGTCCCACATTATGAAAAGTGTTTTAATGTAAGATAAATAATAGAACATTAGCATTTTCCTACACTTCAAACTAGCAGATACTAAGATGTTCAAAAATTTGCATAATAATATTCCCCATACAAAATCATTTTTAAAAAACCAAATGCATCAACCCAACTGTATGCAGTCCATCCAGCTCTCAGGTCTTGTAGGAAACAAGCACATCAAATGGGTTTCCTAACTGTCATGGACACCTATCAGATTTACATTTTCTTGGTGGGATCTCTGTTTACATAATACAATAGCTTAAAACATTGCTCTTTTCCGATCCTTCTTTTAAGGGAATAAAATCCTTTTTAGCCCTTCTGCTTTAAACTGGATCAGGCAGACTTGAAACCTTACATTGTACCGTTCTTCTTAAAATCAAGTTGTCTGAAAAAACAAACCATGTTTAAGTTAGTAGACTAATATATCACATGTATCTTAATGTCCATATCACTGTAAGAAGCTTAAAAAGAGACCCATACTGAATTATGCTACATATTTACAAGTTAAACCAATAAAACACATGATTTAGAAAAATGTCAGTTTCAACAACATGTGCCTAGCAGTCTTGTTAAGTGGTTTTACAGAACCAGCCAGTTCCACTTCTAACTACGTTTAAAGGGGAAGGTTGCGCAAACACTTCCCAGTCAAAGGTCTGCTGCTAGGAAACCCACTTGCAAGAACTCCCAACGGCAGGCCACACACATGTAACATGCAGACCCTCCACTCAGGGCATGGCATCTTCCCCAAGCCATGGAGCACTGTCCTAAGTCAACTTATCTCAGGCCTCAGATGTTTCCCAAAGTTGACTTAGTATTTTCAACTGGAATTACCAGAGCATGACAACTCTGATGGAAAACTACACTGAGCCCAATTATTCAATAGGAAAATTCATTTGAGGTAACCTGGCAGTGGTTGTTTAATGTAAGAATCATCATTTAAAGGGGGCAGTGCAGTTCCATTAAGATCAGGGGTGGTTAAGATTACCTACAACCAACCAACCAAATCAAAACAAGATGCTCAAGTTAACACCCACAACCGACCCCACCCAACGTTAATGGAATCACCACCTTGTTTTGATCCAAAGTGCTCAAATTAACTCGACATTAACTTTCTGAGGTAATCAATGATTCAGAAAGAAAATAAACCAGACGTCTTTGGGAAGCTTAAAGAAAATTGTGTAACGGGACAATTTTCTCTCAGCTCAACACTTGGTACATCTATAAGTAACCTTCTAAAACCAAAGAACTCAATAGACACTTAAGATGTGTGTTTACTGCCCAATCTATGGCCACTGGCTTAGTGTCAAGATTTAGTTAGAAGCCAAAACACTTAAAAATATTAGAACAGGAAATTTAAAGCAAATTCTCCAATATTCTGAAACTTGAGATATGTTCAAAGCTATTAAAAGACAGATTTCTATTACACTAACCACTTGGTAATTAGGAATAATGGGGGAAGGGAAGCCATCACCAACCTCCCCTTCAAAAGCAACTTAAATTGTGAGGTTTTCTGTGGGCTTTAATTAGAAAATACAAATGTCTCTTTCTTACACCAACTGGCTGCTTTTCCTAAACACTTAAATGTGAACAGAAAGTTGTGAGCGCAAAGCAGAGTCTGGCAGCTTTCAAGGGCAGACAGTATAGTTACCCAATAGTAATATAATAAAATAATAAAAATTTAAAGAGAGGCTGTATGTTCAGACTTCATAGGCAGTCAGGAAATCAACAGCCCTCAGTCTGTAAAGACTGCAGCACACATTTTTCAAATTCCCAAAGTTCTGGTAAACATGAGCATAAGTTTCTGTTAGTACTAGAGGTGCATTCTCCCTTTAATTCATCAGTGATCAATTACAGGGTACAAGCTCTTGCTTTTTCTTTAATTAACCAAAAATATAAAAAATCGCAACTTTTTGATTAAACCCAATCATAGCAGACCCAAACCCAAGATAACAGACATGTCTCAATTAATGAAATAGACTGGCTACAAATAATTGAAGTGAATGCCCATCTTCTAATGTTAAGTTTCACTTTTAATGTTTCTATGTCATGATACAACTTGCTATTTCCTTGAGTAGGGGTCTAAGAAAAGGGACACGCCAGGACTGGAGAACCAGTGCACGGCAGTCACTCAGCCTCTCCTGCACGGAGGGTGGCTCTGTCTAGAGAGGGCAAAGAGCAGAAAGCCCACTCTGCACCTGGCATGTCTGGAAGAGGCTAAGTCAATGTTGGCAATGGCTGCCCCCTGGACCCAAGTCTATTAGAGGGCAGGGAGGGTGGCAAGGCAGCAAGGACCAGTCCTAGCCAACATGCACACACTAAAATCTTTTAAACAGCTTTCTCTAGTGAAAAAACAACAGCAGCAGGGAATGATGCTCTCAGACCTTCCACCGGGGTGGCTCACCTGCCTCATCCTCACTCACACAAAAGAACACACTCATTTATGAACACAAATGTAAAATAAAACAACTAGAAAAATAAAGGTCTCGCTTATACATGGAAATTATTAACTAGCTCTGCAAAGCACATCAAGTTTTGATAATTTATGTGAAAACAGAAAAAAAGAAAAAACAAACAAACCTGGCTAAAGGTCGGTTTATTGTGCAACCGAGAGCATCTGTCTCCATGACGACATGCTCCAATTTTGAAATAAAATGAACAGTTGACTCTGTAAGAGAAAATAAGAGCAGATTATTTTGCTGGGTAGACAGCAAACAGATGGAAATACATCATCAACATGATACATCCTATCAAACGACTTCCCCAAAACATAGGCGCATGGTTTTTGATTGGTAGCATCCTCCTTCCTGGCAATATTTTAGTACTCCTTAGCTTCAGTCTGTCCCTCTGTAAACTTGTTCAATGAAATGCACTCACACCCAATTTCTCCTTATTCAAATCGTCTTCACTTTCAACTTCTGCTCTACTGTTTTCTTATTAATGATGTATTAATCTGAAGCTAAATTTCACTTAAAACGTTATCTGTTCTTTAGTCTTCCATGATGAAATGATTTCTTTTAAGGACACCAACACAGTGTAGTGACAACACAGTCTAATGAAGGTCAAGATCCTGACTCTGCTACTAGCTGCGTGGGCAAGTCACCCCACCTTTCGGGGTCTTAGAAGCCATCTGTAAAGTGAGGAAAATGCCAAACTGGCACTGTTCTGAGAATCAGCTGTGATGTAGGTGAGTCATAGACAGCACTCATTAAATGCAATCATTATCTAAATAAAACAGAAAACAAAGTCCAGGGTCACTTACCCATGATATCTAACCTAGAGGAAATTTCCAAAAACAGGTCTGAAGTAATTCTTTTGGTTTCAATATACAGAAAATAAACTACTGGGGAACTCAACCTGCGCCTGTCCTTATGGCAAAGCCCTCCCTTAACACTGGTTAAATACTGGATGACCCAGATCCAATCAAAACTAGCAATCCAGCCAGTGTGCTAGCAATGCCAGGTGGCTTACTGTGGTGAACTATGAAATCTTACTGGATGAGTCCCATTCATATTTAGACTTGCAGAGGCGGAAGGTTAACCCCGTAGATTCACTTTTTTTAGCAAGCGCCATATATTTAGATAGCCAATCCAGAGTTAACATAGAAGGACCTCAGTGAAATCTGATGGACCATGAAGACTGACTAGCCACTAATTTACCATTAGGCAGCAATCAAGTTAGCAAAGTCTGAACTTACCAGGGAAGGAAAATGATCACACTACTATATATATATCTGCAAACTTATCTTATGGGTTTTACTGTATATTTTCTAACTTGAGTATGTAACATTTTATATTTCACCTGAAAATAAAGAGCTTATTTTAAAAGAAAAAAAAAATTCAGAATAGGCAAAACCCCTGCCTGAACAATTAATACCTGACTATTCCATAATTAAAACAATCCTTGTTCCTATACTTTCAAAGATGGCTTTCATTTGATGATGCCCAGTTCATCTAAAACCCCCAGGTCTCTCAGAAATGAGAGTATGAATAATATTAAATAATCAAGTTTCTTGAGTTAAAGTCATGGCTTTTACAAAACAGTCCGGACAGGTGGTTATTGGAATAAAGCCCTGAAGTAAGAGTTTTGTAGAGTAACAGTGAAGACACCATCCGATAGTTAAGAACAACAAAAAAGAATGTGTGAGACAGAAGTCATGGCCCATACTAATACAAGCTGAAGAGTGAAATTAGTGATGCACGTTCTTAGCCGGCACTCAGAGAAGCCTCTTTCCAGCAGAGCTGGCTCATTCAATCAAGATCATCAAGGCAAGTTCCCCACGTTGCTCTTCTATGAGCTCAAAGCATTCCGGGTATAGACCTCTTCCACAGCCATTTAACACATTTTGATTCATTTCTCTTTAATTAGCCTTTACATGCTTGCATCCCCTCCCTTCTTGACAAGAGATATACATTTTATCCATATCTGAGTCCCCAAAGATTGTCTTTGGGTTGACACCCAAGTGACTAAGATTGATGATTTTGTCTTGCAATTTTTGCTAGGAAAAAATATAATCCACCCCCTCTTCCACTCAACACAGGAGATGCTATCATGTGTAAAAGAAGACATTTTACAAGATGTGTCCTGGAAAACAGAGACAATTTAAACAGTGTTTGAAAAAAAAAAAAAAAAAGTATTAAAACATTATCAATGACAAGCTTAGAGATTTACCATTAAAAACATACATTCACATAAATCTTAATAGCCCTGAAAAACCCCAAATAGTAACTACTTATTCAAAGAATAGAATAAGCCAGACATTAATCTTTAGTTTTCAAGATAAGAATTACTCTCTGAACATCTGAAGACACTCACTTCAGTCTAAATTTCAACAGTGCAAAGGGGGCACTCAAAGTCAGAGTTAAATTTTTAACTTTTAACCCAATAACTGATTAGGGAAGCATGCAACCTTAAAAAAGAGGGGAAAGGCCCCCCTTTTCCCTTATGTTGTAATTGAGTCTTCAAGTATTTTAAAACCTCGGCAATTAGGACCCTACGTTATCTGACGAGCAATCCGGGCGAGATGTGGACGAGAGGTCGCCCAACACATTGGAGACGCAAAGTTGGGGGGAATGGTCTAAGGCGGACAACTTCAGCACAACTCGGGAAGGCTTCCAGAGCCGCGGGGAGCCGGGTGGCCCACGGGCCGGAAAACCGGCGGGCCGCAGACGAGCGCCGCGCGGGAAAGGCCGCGCCGCGCGGGCGGAAGCCCGCTGCCCGCCCGGGGGCCCACTGCTGGCCCGCCCGCCCTAGCGCCCACGAGGCGGCGCGCGGCTCCCGAGGCCGGAAGGACCGACGCGCCCCTCCCCCCGCCCGCCCGGGCATCCCGCCGCCGCTCGGAGCCTGTTGCGTGCCCGCCCACCTGCCCGGCGCGGAGCCCCAGCGGGCGGTTCTCACTCACTTGTCTTTCTCGGTGCCGAAGATGGAGGCCAAATACTCCGCCATTTCCCACCCGCAGCCGCCGACACCGCTGCCGACGCCGCCGACCCTGCCCGACGCCCGCGGGAGACGTCACCCGGACGCGACGACGCTCGCCCCGCCCCGACGGCGTGGCGGCGCTGCCCAATCGGGAGAAATGCTGCCTGCGCGTGGGCGGGACTTGGAGCGCGCGGGAGGTACCGTCTCTTGGCCCCGGAGCCCGCGTGCTGCCCGCCGGCGCCCCCTGCCGGCGTGTTCCGGCTCCGCGCTCACCCCGACCCTGGCCCAGGGAAGCCCAGCGTGCAGACTGCGGCCGGCCGGGAGGGTTCTCCACGCAGTCGCCTGGGGCTGGGTCCGCGGAGCTCAGGGAGGTGCAGGGACGCCTCCCTCCCGGCGCCTCCCGCACCTCCCGGGGGGACCCGCACCGCTTTGCGAACCTTTTCTCTGTGCAGACCCCTCCTTCACTGCCCTCGTAGGCGGCGAATGGAGTGGGGGCGCCCCTGTCTGCCCCCTGGTCTCGCGCGGGGCCTCGGCCCTTTGAAGGGCTCTAGTTCCTAAACTGGGCCCACCTGGATGATCCCCATCATCTCCCTGTTTTAAGGTGGTCTGAAAAGTCTCTTCCTGGCAGTGCTTAGCTTAGTGTTTGATCAACCAGGGACGAGAATCTTGGGGGGACATCCGTAGAGTCATGCTTGGATTTGAGGGAAACAAGACCAGAGAAGGAGTTTTGTTGGTAGGAAATGGGGGTGCCTGACTTGGGGCCGCGGTGGCAGGTGTAATGCTCAGAGTCCTGGGGGGGCAGGCTACAGAAGCTACGGTGATTGCGGAGCTGTGTCCCCCTCCA